CTATCCTAGTATTGACCATGGCACAATAGAAATGCACCGTCATGGTCAATACTAATCAAAGAATAAGAAAAAAGATGCAAATGTGACATGCAAAAGTACAGTTAATAAAAGACCTCGTCGAGTTCTTGAAGTGGAATGAGAAAAGTGTACTCCTATACGGATCAAAAAATAACTTTATTTGCATGGCATAATCATGTGAATGAAGTAAGTCATAAGTGTCTCCTCGTTCATAGTTTTCTGAATAGTTCTCAAAATTATGGTAGTATAGTTCATGCCATATTTTGAGGGGAAGAATTATGAGATGAATTAAGAGTAAGAATTAAGATCAATTAAGAAACTACTCTTCATTAAGAGTGAGATAAAGATTTTGATGAATGTGACCGTCGGTCATAACAATGATACCCCTAAGCAGAGAAACAGCTAAATTCCTGGATTTTTTAAAAGTTCCAAGAGAAAGATAGCATAGTCACAATCAAAGATATTAAAGCGGTGCTTAAAACGTCATATAAGGTTTTAACAGATTGAACCCAAATAAAAAATTAGAAGATACACTATCTTTATAAAAGATGGGACGATCTGGGGGGAGCACGATATGTAGAGACCTATGACTTGAAGAGAAGCGGGACTGTGTGCCCACTTCAGTGATTCAAGTCATAGGATTTCTCGATACCTATTGATGTTGTATGACTTATACAACACCTGTTGTTGTCTCTTCGAAGAAGATGAATAATGTAAACAAGGATCTTGTGATACAGGAGCCTGTAGAATCAATTGCCTCTTGGCAATGAAGAGCAACAACAGCCTGACATGAAAGTGCCAGTAGCTGAGGCCCTAGAAGGTCTTAAAGAATTAGTAAACCAGTTTTCTGATGACTATGAAGTCTATGTTAGTGAAGAAATTCAAATAGAGGGTGATCCCACCGCATTTGAAGAAGGCATGAGAAGCGTTTACTCGTTTGAAACTTTGAATGGCAAGAAACTATGGAAGTTGAAATAAATTCGATAAATACCAACGATGTTTGAGACTTAGAAGAAATTCCTAATAGAGCCAAAATAGTAGGCTGTGAAAGGGTCTACAAGACAAAATGTGACTCCAAAAAGAATAAATAGATTACGATGAGAGTTTTCTTTTTAGTCTCATGCAAGGATTCTTTTAGAATCATAATGGTGTTATTGGCACATTACGATTTAGACTTACATCAGATGGATGTAAAGACAGCATTCCTCAACGGGAATTTGTATGAAAACGTTTACATATCACAACCCAAAGGTTTTGTCATGGAAGAAAAAGAACGTATGGGATGCCGCCTGTAGAAATCTATTTATAGGTTAAAACAAGTCTCTAGACAGTAGTATTTGAAGTTGATGAAACGATAAGAAAGTTTGGGTTTAAAGAAAATAAGAAGGACAATAGCGTTTATACGAAGTTCAAGAATGGAAAATTCTTTTTCCACATCCTGTGTATAGATGACATCCTACTCACTAGTAGTAATGTTAATCTACCATTGGAGAAGAAGAAGTCTTTGTCCTCAAGTTTCAATGTGAATGATCTTGGTGAAGCCTCATTGGTTCTAGGAATTGAAATTCACCGAGATAAATGAAAAGGGGTATTAGGACTATCGCAAAGGCATACTTAGAAAAGATTCTAAAGAAATAAAGTATGCATGCGAGTAAACCTACGCCTACTCCTATAGTCAAGGGTAATAGATTTGGGAACTTTTAGTGTTCCAGGAACCGATATGAGATCGATCAAATGAACATGGTTCCATATGCTTCAGTTGTTGGAAGCTTAATGAATGTACAAGTAAGAACTTACCCTAACGTAGCTTACATATCCAGGATATTTTGGCAGAAGTCCAGTCCAGATATAGATCATTGGAATGGAGTTAAGAATGTCTTGAAATTTTTGCAAAGTATCATAGGTCTCATGCTGAGTAAGAAAGAACAAGTACTCTCAAATAGTTGTGGGTACAAATGTTAAGTTTTGGCGAGATGTGTAGTGAAATCCACAGTAGTTGCTAACACTCATAATTGGAGTATTATTATAGAAAAGCTCCAATGAAATAGTTATGGTGTCATCAATGATGCATACCATAGTATAATTTGTCATGAGGCCTCAAGAACAGGCAAAAATGGTTAAGGGAATATGTATCCAAATTTAACAATATTAGTCAACAACAATAACCATTTAAAGTAGTTAACTCCTAAGACAACAGGTCAAGTGTGCTGCCAAACATATTGACATTAAGTTATATGTTGTAAAGAAAAAAATCCAGAATTATTTTGAAAGCATTGAGCATATAAGTACCAAGCAAGTACTTACGGATCCGCTTACCAAAGTCTAACCACCCAGTGCGTTCAGAGAACACACAGTCGACATAGGTTTACGAGAAAGCCTATGATTTCTAGATACTAAGGACCTAGTTGAGAATCTGTTTTAAAACAGAGAGGTGCATTGTAGCTGTTTAATCTAATGGCAACTGACCGTGATGATGAGGCACGCTCTATGCACTGATCTACGATGGAATGGGAAAAAGATAAAATAAGTTAAGTTTAAATCATAAGGTGAGATCAAGGGAGAGAATGTTAGATTGATCTCCACCAGTTGGCCCAATGGCCAATTGGGCCCTTGATCGATGCCCTGATCGGGGGTGCCCAGCTGTTCTCCTGGCCGATGGGCCACGTCGCGCAGCATAATAAATAGGAGGTGGGGACTGGGGCTCGAGACACGAGGTTCACCGTAGCCACTAGTGCCCCACCGAGGTTCCTAGCCCTAGTCCGATCTAGAAGGGCGCGCTGTAAGCGACGGAAAGCGACACTGCCTTTGCCATCGCCACTAATCCAAGTCTACGCTGCTGCTACCTTCGGCGACCTAGCGGGCGCGTCAAGATACCTCTACAGCGACACTGCTTGGAGAGGTACACAACATGTTCTTTGCCTAAGTTAAGATTAACCCACTAATCTACACCTAGAGGTCCTATAAATCCTATCACTTAGTGGTGTTAAGCAAGAAATAATGATTTTGCCCCTAAGTAAAAAATGACTCAACGTAGAGTTCAATTGTCTGTGTTTAATTTTGAAAAATATTTCAAATGGTTTAAGGTTACCATAATTACATAAAAATGTAATTATGGTAACCTTAAACCATTTGAAATATTCCTCAAATTTAAACCCAGACAAACTGAACTCTGCACTAATTCATTTTTCACATAGGGGCAAAATCATCATTTCATGGTCCTAAAACTAATGGAAGGGCCATATAAGAAACTAAAGATAACTGTTAGGCTAAATAGGTAAGTGCAGAAATAAAAGGGCCAAGAAAGTAAGTCAAACTTTTTTTAGGACGAAGAAAATAGTTCTCTCTTACTACAATTAGTCCATCAATCTTAGTTGTCGCATGCGAATTATGTTAAGGATTTACGTATAAATTCAGGGACTACAACTAACAAAAATAGTTTATCTTTGCCTTGTCAAAAATGCTTGTATTATGACACCATCCCACGTAGATACTTTATTATCAACATCAAGTTCTGATATACTTTAGTTACTAGTAATTAGTCTATATAATTTTTCATCTAAATTATAATCGTATACTATATACCACACATTTGTGTGAAAGTAAGGCGAATTTTGACCGACAAAAAAGGTTAAATTTGATCGACATTAGTTAATTCGACGATTACATGACGACGTGTACAGTCATGGAGGACAGAACTAGATCTTTATTGATAGGACATTCATCAACTGGGTATGCAAGACATAGATATGCATGTAACCCGATCTACCAGGGCTCTATTGTAAGTGGTAACTGACTACGAAACCAACAGTAAACCGAGAAGAACGAGGCTTATTTGAGATCCTACACCCCCGAACTATAGACTTAGAGAGCGCCTGGTCGGTATCTCCAATGCACTCAACATATATGTCGTACAAGCAATACAAACCATATGCATTGAGTATAGGGCACCATTTGTTTGAACTAGTATAAACATTGTGTGCCATTTGATAACTTCTGGATTTGCTATGTACAATGCTCCAGAATCATTGTCCAGTGACAAAAACAACAACACAACTATAAGCAAGCTTAGAGCATTTGTATTCAAATTTCAAGGTGTCTATGAGGTACTGTTGACTTTTTAGCAAAGCGTGACATACTGTAAGACAAAATAAGGGTTTAATTCGACTTTTCTCCAGTCAAAAATATGCCTTACATATCTGGACGAACGTGTCGTTTTACCGACACAGGAGAGGCAACCTTAGCCGTTCTATGAGGAATCGGAGCTCTAGCGAACGCCCTACCAAACTCCTAGTCGATTCATCTAGCTTTCCTGCTGAACAATTCCAGATAGCGTACAAACAATTATGAACGCCGATTTTGAGCTGACACTTCTAGCTGCTCTCTCTGCACGCGCCAAATCCATTTCATCGACGATCCTGCCAGCTTTCTTCCCCGGGAAGACTCGCCAGTCTCGGCATTCCACCCATGTGCGTTCAGCGTTCGCCACTTGCAACCTTTGGAGCTACCACGATGACCAGCAGCTTGGATGCCAAGACATTGTGCGGGAAGACCACCATCCCAGGGTCCACGGGGCAGAATCTTGCTCTGCACGCTTGGGCGGCTCGAATCCGAACTCCAGGGACATATAAAGGCTCGAGGCGCCAAGATCGTTCACCATCCAACAACACCCAACTAAGGCTGTGTTTAGCTATAGGAATTTGGATTTTAGGACTATTGTAGTATGTTCGTTTTTATTTAGCAAATAGTGTTCAAACATGGACTAATTAGGCTCAAAACGTTCGTCTCGTAATTTCCCATCAAACTGTGCAATTAGTTTTTCTTTTCGTCTACATTTAATGCTCCATACATGGACCGTAAACATTCGATGTGACAGGTACTATAACAAATTTTTAGAAATTGGGGTGGAACTAAACAAGGGGTAACTGAAAAACTAGCCTTGATTTTTATCTGGCCTCTTCCAAAACCTGACACAGCACTAGAATATGCTGAGCTCGACTGTGGAGCTGATCACTCTCTGGGCGTCGTCATCCAGCCCGTCGCTACTGGCCTTCTGCTTCTCCCACCTCATCATCGCCGTCCTCCTCCTTGGCGGCCGCGGAGAGTGCACGCCGGGAGCTACCGAAGCTGGAATGGTCGATGGCATTCCAGTGCAAGGAGGGAAGAGGAGCGGCGGAGGACGGGAGAGTCCTCCAACCGCTGCGGCTAGCGTCGTCGAGCATGCCCATAGGCACAGCTGTGCTCACAACGTCGCCGACGTTGACACGGATACTATCCAGGTGCAGCTGCAAGCAAGCGAGAAGAGCAGCGGAGCAGAGGATGATACGGTACAGGAGAAATGCGGTGGTGACGATGAGGAAGAGGATGAGCTCATGATGTGGGCCGAGGAGTTCATCCGGAGGATGAACAGAGTTTGGATGGCAGAAAACATGCGCTTTTGCTGATGCGCCGGTGACTAGTTCCTGATCCGCTTGGGTCTTGGGAGTTGGTGTGGTTGTTTGTTCTCGGCTCTGTACACTGTATGTTATGCAAGCAGAATCAGGCAGGGAGGAAATTAGAGAGACGGAGAAAAAGAAAGTCAGAGGAAATGATCAATCTTTACTGCAACTCTGCAATGCTCTTGCTTTTGCACGTCCTGGACGAATCACGACACCTGTATGCTCCAGTAATTTTTTTTTTCTTTACGCAAAAGATTTGCGTATCATTGTAATTAAGAAGAAGAGTTTAACCATACACACGACACGCTTCTAATAAGCGCTCTAGGAGGACTTACAGTTGTGACTGAACCTTCCTAACCGACTGTGCCGAACTTCGATATTACATAAAAACAAACAACCGAATTAAGAGCAGCGTAGTAACCTATGGAGCTGGGCATCTTCGCTACTGGCCGCGTGACTCTGCTCCGTCATCCGAGAAGAGTCTTCTACCAGTCCTAGCATTGGTCGTCGGGAACAGCGCGTCCAGTGCTTCAACTTCGCTCAACGTCAAGTTCCTTACGAATAAGTCGTCATATGCTCGTTTGGACGCGGATGAGATTGTAGCTGCCGGCGGTGCAAAGCCCATCCTCTGCATGAGGAGCACCTCGCCTCGCTTGGAGGTCGGAATGTGCGCCAGCGGATGAGCAGCAACCCGTCTGCTCCGTTTTGGCAGGGGTTGCCTTGTGGTTGCCACCTTCTGCCTTGGTGGGCTGGCGATTAATGGCGATATTCGCTTGAGCTGCACCTCCTCAGTGAACCGTGCGAGACGTCGGGCAGCTTCGTGTGGTGTGGGCGTCGTGTCGCTAGGGGTGGTGCAACCATCTGCGACGCTGGGTGCTCCCGCTCGTGCTGGCGTGAGCTGTGGCGGCCCATGCACTGGCGACATTAGAGACAAGTCTGTTGTCCACTGAGCAGCCATCGTCGGGGAACAGGTGTCCGCCACTAGTGCTTCAACCTTCTGAGAGGCTGTCGTAGTAGGCAGACACTCAGGTGTTGCTGCTCTCATTGGTCGGCTCACGATGAGCGAGGCGGCAAGCTCCTTCAACATCGGGTTGAACAAGACGACCCATGCGGGAGGTTCCGCGCTCGCACACAACTCCAATGCCAGCGGATCTGGCTCAAGGAAGCAAAGTGTAGTAGCAGAAGAAGTGGCGTTGTCAACAAACGCGCCCCTGCTGATGTCCCTCGTTGGCTTACTCCGGCGACGGCGGCGGCAGGTGCCATCGGCTCCCTCCATGGCCCCATGCGCGGCCCCATCCAAGCTCGGTGGACCACCGTGTGGCGCCTGGGAGGCTGGAGGGTCGCCACGAGCAGAGTGTCGTGGCAGGTTGGCACCCGTCGTCGCTAACTTCGCGGACCTGTGCCGCTTGTAGTCCCTAGCGAGGTGGCGGTAGCCGTGGCAGCGCAGGCAACGTTGTGGCAACCGGCAAGTTGCGACGTGGTGCGAGTAGGAGAGACAGTTAAAGCATCTATCGCGAAGCTCTGCGGGGATCCTCTGTGCCTACGGGAGCTGCTTTTGGTGATGCTCAACCGAGGCTGTCACAGGTTGCGTCTCCTACCGTGGGAGGATCTCCCGCCACCCATCGGCGTTGGGGGGAGATCCTTCCACGGCGACCAAGGCGTTGGCGGGCAGGGATATGGCCATCCAATGGCCGAGCAGGCAGGCCATGCACCAACTGGGTGTGTGGCCGGCTGCGTCTCCTTCATCTTCTTCTAGGTCCCTGCCGTCTAGCGTCCACCACGCCACAACCTCGAGTCATGATCAGATGAGTCTGGGCGCGCGGTAGGGATGCATCTACCGGTTTTGCCGGGCGACGAACGACGTCGAGGTAGGTTGTAGGGTTGTCGTCGTCGGACTCATCGCCGTCATCGTCTACCCATCGATGGCTCTTCATGCGCCCACCAGAGAAGCAACCCGGGTGGAACGGGGCCGTGTCCGGTGAGAGAGGGGAGGGGCTGTGGGAGGCATGAGGTGCCAGCCACCGGTAGGACGATGCACATGGCGCCGGGCTTGCTCCCCCACTCCCAATCAGAGGTGACATACTGTCGTTAGGCGTAGCTGGCGCCTTGGCTGCTGTTGACCCAGGCAAGGTGGCCACAGTGGCGACAACCGGCACAGGCGACAACGGGGGTGGTGGATTGCTGGTGGAGGACCGCGCCAGCTGCCGCGGTGTGCCGCTAACCTTAGAGGACACGGACCCAGACGATGGCCGCACGGCTCGAGATGCGACCCCACAGGGCTTCCCAGCTCTGGCGGCGGCCGTAGCTGCTGTTGCAAGTGGGGCGCTGAGGTGGCTTCCACAGCCTTCTGCGCGATGTGGCTGTCGTCCTCCTAGCCACCGGTGATCGCGGTGGAGCCCGCCAGAGGACTGGAGGGGGCGGCGACCGCAGCAGGCTACGGTAGGGGAGGGGACTCCGTGGTGACTAGCTCCACGACGGTCGCTGCCGCCGCCGCCGGCGGGGAGGTACCAGGAGCGGAGGGAGGGGCGGAGACGGCCGCCGTGGTGGCCTGCGCCGGTGCTGGGGCCGACGCTGTCTCCAACAAGGTCGGGGAGGGCCCGCATGGCTAGGAGATGGTGCCACGTGGGGAGGGAGCGGTAGGAGATTGGGGAGTAGAGGGGGCGGTGGGGAAGGGAAGCCGACCGCAGTGGCTTGCACCAGCACCATCGTCGTCGCCGACGAGGTCAGGGAGGGAGGAGAATTGGCTTGGGGAGATGCGGTCCCTGGTGGAGCTCACGAGGGGAGAGGAGGGGCGATGGGCACCAGCGCCGAGGAGGCCGACGGCGGCGGCGGGGGTGGCGCCGCCGCCAGGGGCTAGGGTTCGGTGGACATGTCTTGGCTCGTTCTCCTTACTTTCCTCTCCAAAGAGGAGGGAACTCAGAGTTGGACCGCGCGAGCTAGGATCTGAAGCTCTACGACAGCTATGCAAGCATGTAGGAATCGAGAAGCCTGAGCACTAGGATGGCGCCAGTGGGTTCGGTCGAGTTCTCGCCACAGTAATTGTAACATTTTGTTAGGGATATGGGCTAGTATTAGGAATAGATATGGGCTTCGGACATGGGCATGCGTGCCTCTATTGGTTGGTTGGGCTTGGCCTGTGTATGGAGTGGTATGTATTTACCTTTGGCTAGGGAGAGAGGGATATGAAGAATATTGTAATCAACAATCAGATATATCATAATCTATTCTAGCTACTCCTCTTGTGTTCTTCTTCCTCCTAATTCCCCTGCTCTGCTACTAGTTCCTCTCCAATCTCTGATCTCTAATGCTTCCCTACCCATCCCCGCTACCCTGCTGCTAACATCTGGTATTCAAAGCCAATCCTAGAATTCCAACGAAATCCCTCACCAAGTGATTCCGATTGCAATTGAGCGCTATGGGTCTCGATTTCCAGTTGATCCTGGCCAAGCTTCACGAGTTTCGCAAGGAGTTGGCATCCACGAAGGAAGCTATCTTAGCACCATAGGCCCCACCATCAATGACCGCCCCACCATCGTCGATCCCATCACCGATGTCAGCCTCGGCGCGGAAAACAACCCCAACGGCAGCGGCTTCTCCATCCCCAAGCTCGACTCCGAGGCCAACCCGCCAGTGCAGAGCCACGTTCTCGTCGACACCACCCTCTTCTCGGCCGACTAGGATGAGATCCCCAACAACCTCACCGTGCACCCTAGCTCGTTCCGCTGCGTTCGCTCCAACTCCGACGACGCAGAATTCTCGCCTCGTACCTGTGCTGCTCCAGTGCCTTCCTCCATGCTCTGCTCTACCTAGCTCCCCACACAAGGACCACCATGCACCAGAGCCTTTCCTAGGGTGGCACCGCAACATCCCTAGTCATACCAGCAGCCGCAGCTCGCGCGCATCAACACGATGAAGCGCTCCTTATACCCCATCGAGGACGATGGCGCTAACGACCTCGCGCCGGTTGACCATGGTCCCGAGTTCACGTCGTAGGCCAACTTCCGCATCCGCAGGGGCACGGAGGACATCGCCATCTACCAAGGCTTCTAGACCCCTGACAGCGCAGTGTCGTGCTCACCTGCTTCCTCTGCGGCAACGTGCTCCACCGCTTCGAGTACAGCGTCCCTACTGCGGCGTTCCTCGCTAAGCTCCGTGGGGGCACTTGTACCACCGGCCACCATGCGCCGCGCCAAGTACCTCCTCCACGACAACGACTTCGCCGACGAGCTTGGTCGCGAGAAGGCAGACCTAGACGTGAAGCTGCTGGGCCCCGTGAGGTACTACACCACCAGTGACCAGTTGGTGATCGAGTGCAAGGCCCTTCTGGACGCTCGACTGGTGTTCGAAGAAATGCCACGCAAGTACACCACCACCGCGCACTCTGTTCATTCTCTGTAGCATTCCATTCTTATTTTCCTTACTGTGCCTGGTATGCCACCCTTGCCCATGAGCGTGCTGGGATCTGAGTCCATTGCCTCAGCCAAGCTGTGCATCCAATAGTTCAAGGACCTTGTGGTGGCGAAGCAGTGGCTTGTGCTGGATGGGTATGAGTTGGTCAGAAACAACTGCCCAGTCAATGATTGTGGGCTGGCCGAGGAAAATGTTTTGCACCTTGTTATTCGGCTGTCTAATCTCTGTGTGATCAACAGTGAGACTGCCACTGGAGAGAAGTTTCTATTTCAGGAGGAGGAGGCTCCCAGCACCTTGCCCAATAGGTGTCTGATGAATTGCCTCATCCTGATGCAGAGCTGTTTCTCGCTTCCATTCAGATGCAGCTCGGATGCAGTGCTATATAGGCAACACAGGCCATGGCCTCCATCTTCAGAACTCCGTTTGGTGAGCTGTGAGGCTAGGCTGTGTCCTCTATCATGGTCGTCGTTCAACATGGTTGAGAGGTATTCTGTCTTGTGTCACTTGGGTTGACTCTGGAAACACCCATGGTTTCCATCACTTTGACAACTGATTAGGTGTGTACCAGGTACTGCTCATTAGAAGCTTTTGACATA